TGCTGGTGCTCCACCAACAGCCTTGCGGGGCAAATAACCTCCGACCCTACCCCTACGGATATCGCTGTTTTAGAGGAACTTACTCACAACACAGCTAGTCCACAGTATTCAGCCTGTTTGGAGGTCATCTGTTAATGTTGTGTACATAGATTCAAGCTCCCTAGAAGTATCATAGTCTGAGTTGAATTTGGCTCTGTGGTGTGTATGGCTTGTGGGAGATGTTTATGCTATGATGCCCACACCAAACAGAGTCTAAGATTTCCCAGTGGAAGAGTTTACTCCATTCGATAACAGGTTTTTTTTAAGATATTACTTATTTATTTGACACACAAAGAGAGTACAAGCAGGGGGAGTGGCAAGCAGAGGGAGAGGGAAAAGCAGTCTTCCTGCTGAGCAGAGGCCAGATGGGACACAGGGCACAATCCCAGAACCCTGAGATGATGACCTGAGTTGAAGGCAAACATTTAACCAACTGAGCCACCCAGGCGCCCCTATCCTATAACTATTGTTTCTATGACTTGGGGTCAGTTTCACTTTTTCCCATTTAATGGGGCCCTTTACATTCCAAAAAAACCTCAGTTTTCCTCCTTGTTTTGCAAGATGTTTACATGTTCTTCTAAAGCAACTGACTTTATTCTTTGTCCTAAAGGAAAAAGTAAGACAGATGCTACTAATATCACACAGACTAATTCAAAAACCCAAGGGACCGGAAGTAGAAGAACCATTTATTTAAAAAAAAAAAAAAGAAAGAAACAAAACAAAACCTTAATTGATCCAGTTTGTCTTCATTTATGATCCTCCTGAGAGGTCTTTGGCCTGGGACCTGCTGTGTGGGACATCGTACCTGCTCTGTGTGGCTATGCCCTAACCACAGGTGTGGATATAACAGAATTTGACATGGAGTCCTGCTTCACCCGTCACTCTAAATGCTGTTCTAACTGCCTGTACGGTTTAACATGCCTCCCACAAAGCCTTCAAATGATTGGGTCTCTGGGGCAGCCATCAACGGTGGTATAGCAGGTTTGAAAGTGAACAACGCAGGTAGTCAAATGCACATCACAACTGGGAGCCAGGACTTCATGGACCTCTGTGCCCCCCCGGCCTTAGCCCACTGAGAGTCTTTTATCTGTTCAGAATTCTGGGTTCGTTTTATTTTGTTTTGTCTTGTCTTATCTTGGTTTTTCCTAACTCAGAAATAAACTTTGCTATGGACTGAATACAACAAATTCACATGTTGAAGCCCTAATTCTCAGCGTGACAGCACTGAAGGTGGACCTTTGGGAGGTGATGAGGTCATAAGGGTGGAGCCCTGGTGAATGGGATTCATGCTCTTGTAAGTAGAGACATGAGAGAAATCACTTTTCTCTCTGCCATGTGAGCATACAGCAGGAAGACAACTGTCTGCAAACTAGGAAAAGGGCCCTTAACAGACACAGAATCTGCCCGCACCTTCATCTCGAACCTCCCAGCCTCCTGAACTGTGAGAAATAAGTATTTGCTGTTTTTAAGCCACTTAGTCTATGGTAATTTGTTAATAGCAGCCTGAGCCGGCTAAGAAAAAACCCCACAAGTCTTAGTCAGAGGCAAAATACATGCTAAGGACCACTTGCCAAACTGTCTCCCAAGGACGGTAATTAATCCCATCTATCCTATCTGTACAAAAGGTGAAAGAAGGCATTATATGGGGAGAATCATCCCAGCAGGATAGGAATGTATTAAAGGTGGGTTTTTTTTGGGCGCCTGGGTGGCTCAGTTGGTTAAAGCCTCTGCCTTTGGCTCAGGTCATGATCTCAGGGTCCTGGGATCGAGCCCTACATTAGGCTTTCTGGTCAGCAGGGAGCCTGCTTCCCCCCACCCCACCTCTCTCTGACTGCCTCTCTGCCTACTTGTGATCTCTGTCTGTCAAATAAATAAATAAATAAATAAATCTTTAAAAAAAAATAAAGTTGGGTTTTTTCTTTAGTAAAGACAAAGACACCAGTGACCCTGTGTTTGTGGCTGAGGTGGCTTCATGGAGAAGGTGGGATTTGATGGCCCCTGGGGAAATAAGCCCTCAAGAACCACCTGTTTTTACAAAAAACTTGTTCATCACTGGGATTCACCTCCACTGGGATGGTAGGATCAGCTCAGGCTGGGTGGCTAGGCCTCCCCTCCAATCCCTGACTGGCCTCAAGGAACACACATTGTTCCCTAGGCCTGAAGTCCAAGTGGAGGGCGTGCATTAGCCTTGAGGTCCTGGTGCACATGGAGTTGCACTTTATAAAAAATCATGAAGGGGGTGCCTGGGTGGTTCAGTGGGTTAAGCCTCTGCCTTCAGCTCAGGTCATGATCTCAGGGTCCTGGGATCGAGCCCCACATTTGGCTCTTTGCTCACTGGAGAGCTAGCTCTCTGCTCAGAGGAGAGCCTGCTTCCCTCTCTCTCTGCCTGCCTTTCTGCTTACTTGTGATCTCTCTCACTCACTATCAAATAAATAAAAGCTTTTTAAAAAATCATGAAAGGTTTTATTTTTTTTAAATATTTTAAAAGATTTAATTAATTAATTAATTAATTTATTTATTTATTTATTTATTTGACAGAGAGAGCCCTGCTGAGCAAGGAGCCACCCAGGTTCCCCAAGATGAAGGATTTTTAAATATTTACTTTTGGGATAACTGGGTGGTTCAGTTGGTTAAGCGTCTGCCTTCGGCTCAGGTCATGGTCTCAGGGTCCTTGGATCTCAAGTCCTGCACTGGGCTCTCTGCTCAGCAGGGAGGCTTCTTCTCCCTTTGCCTGCCGCTCCCCCTGCTTGTGCTCTCGCTCTCTCTCTCTCTCTCTCTCTCTCTGATAAATAAATAAATAATACCTTATAATAAAAAATTTATTTTTTCTTAACTATTTTCCCCAATTTAATCGATATGATCACTTTCCCATGGAGAAGAAAATATACTGCTAAAAAAGAAAGGAACTATGTCATCCTTACTCTCTCCTACCCAACCCCCAACTATGTGACGGCTGAGAGTGTGACTTCAGTTCCTGGCATTGCACCACCCAGCTTGGAGTTGGAACTGAAAAGGCCTCCCTTCTAAGGCTCTGTGGGCAAAGGGTGATGACAAAGGCTAGAAAGGAGATCTGTGCTACTTAACAAGACATTTGCAAAACAACAGACTAGTAAGTACGTTGGAAAACTGACAAAAGTATATCCCTCTTATGATTGTGAGGATTTTAGGTGGTTTTTCATAGTTAACATTTTATAAGGAAACAGGAATATTCAGAAAGACTGAACAAAATCCCAGGGTAGCACGAAGAATTAATTACAAAAAAATTACATAGAGAGAAGACCATAACAAACAACAGCATACATAATTTCTCTCATGGCCTCAATAGTCAACCTCTTGATATTTCTTCAACTTTTATTTTCATCAACGTTCAGTTTATTTCTCAGCAAAACTTAGGTTTCTTATTCATTACCCTTATGTAAAATTAACAGTACGTTTCCTGTGTTATGCTTGTCCTTTTTTTTTCTTCCCCTAAATGCTTTTTTAAATGGCATGACAGGGTGTAGGATGTTTGATGTTCTCAGAGTTACCATGAGTGCTGGGCTGTAAATAAATCATGAATGTACCACATCATTCATGAATTATTCATTTTTTTTCTTGTGCTTTCTATAGAAGACTATGCATCAAAATCAAATTCAAACTATTGAAACCTTAGGTGGTTTCAGATTACTAAAAGAGCTGGTTATTCAGCCTTGCAGTAAAAAAAAAATTCTTTTTAATCTATGGTTATGTAAAAATTCTTACCAGCTGGAAGAAGTCTGACGTTCCCTATGCTTACCAACACTTACACTTACCCTATACTTACCCTACCTTCCCTACACAACAGAGGTGATCACAGAGATCACAAGGGGCTTAAAGGTATAGAGGCCTCAGGTGGTGGGGTATATATTTCAGTTTTTTATTTGAAAATTGTTTTTTCCCATAACAAGGCATCCTTTTCAGTCTTTGGGCTTATAGCCCAATTCCACGGTTGTCTGATAGTACAATTTCTCCTCTTTTACAAACGAAGCACAGGCTGTCCCCAACTTACTAAGTATCCAACCTACTAAATTCCAAATCCTCATTCAGGAGTTGTTTGGTTGGAACAGATTAAACACGTTTCCCCAAAGAGACAAGAAGAGTGGCTCTGTCCCCAGGCAAATTCACAGCCTGTTCACCCACGAGGTACAAGAAATATGAATCTAATGACAATCTAGAATGTCATCAACAGGTAGAAGCATACTTTTATGGAAAACTGCGTTCGGAATTTCAACTTGGGGTAGGAAGAACAGACCTCAGTGTTTATGTCACGCAGGCTTGAGGCTGCCCAGGGCTGGGAAGAATAGGAAACCACAAGGAGAGTTACGTATAGACATGGGTGTATATATGGGTGCACCCATGTGAATGGTTGATTCTTAATTCTAGGGTTTTTTTAATTCAAAATTATGTTTCACATGTATTTCATGCATATGTATACACACAAACACATATTTTCTAGAAAGATAGTCTATTCCTTTCATTAGATTTTTGAAAGGATCTCAGATCTTCAAACTCAAAAACACTAAGAACCATCCCTCTAGCAGATATGAATAGGGAATGAGATGGGACTTCTTGCCAGTATCATTTTTCCATCCTATCAATCTCCCAAGACATTTAGAATAAACGAAAATGTTTTCCTGCTCTCTGGGCTCCACTAAGACCTGATTTTAAGATCAACATTCCTCTCCCTTCTGATGTACTAGGAAACAGGACCTCCTGTTCTGGAAGCAGTTTTTAATAGTTCCTGCTGCCTGTTAATATATGAAAGTGTATGCAGAATTAATGTCTCCTTCTTTCTTTCACCTTTCCTGTTTTTCTTTTCTGTCTCCCTCCTCTGTCCATCTGTTTGTCTGTCTTTCTCTCTGTCTTGTTCTCTCTTACTTGGTCAAAAGGTGCTGGTCAAAGGGAGGCTTGAAACACAGAATACTCAAGTTAGAACCACTTACATTTCAGAGGAATGTGTTCTCAGGTCTTCTGCGATGCAGATGTCTTGCTGGTTCTGCTTTGGAGCACGTCTGTCTGTTCTGTCAGTGAGAACTGGTTTGATCTCTTGAGGTCTGGAGGGTGAGAGGAGGTGGAAGTGAGAGACGAGTTACTCCACGTAGCCTGAATCAATGTTATAGAGGCAGAGACTTCAAACTGTTCATCCACTTGTTTGTTCTGTTTAGTTAGTAAGCACCTACTGTATGCAGAGAATTATGCTGGGCTCTGAGGGATACAAGGACTGAAAGTTCTGGTCTTCTCCTCTGAGCACCAATGTCATAGGAAGATGGACATACAAACACACAAATACAAAACATATTTAACTGCTAGAAAGGAGGTATGTATTTTCAAGCACTGGAAGCAAGGAAATAGAAATAATTCTGTTCATTGGGGTAAAGGTAGTGGTGGGAGATTCTATTTTGAGAAAGGTAAATCCATAGCCAGGAACACACCAGGGTTCTAGCTCCAGGGCAAGACACTTGGCTCTTCAGCTTCCCCATCTTGAGTTTCTGCATCTGAACGTGATGGGATGCACCATCTCTGGAATGTGGTCAGAAAAAAGGGCATTCAGACTAACACTAAACTGACCTGGGGCCCGCATCCAAGCCCTTAGCCCTGCCTCTTCCTGTGCCTCAGTTTGCCCATCTTCTCAGGCCTTCCATTCTACCTGTTATATGAGAAAATTAATGACTACTTTTCAGGATTAATGCAAGGTAACTAAGGATTAAATGTTAGTTCTTATTCCTCCTTCTTCTTTTCACTTCTTCATGGGGTTCTGGTTATTGTGAAATTCTTAGGCCAGGTGATAATGAATCACCCCAACCTCTCCCACCATTTATCTAATTTTTTTTTTTCCTGATGTATTTGAGGCTATGAATTCTGTTTAGGAGAATAAGTGAAGTTTTTCTGATTTTTTGCTTTAAACTTTTATGGGAATTATGTTTGCTAATATCAAGAATGTAAGGGCATCTGGGTGGCTCAGTTGGTTAAGCATTTGCCTTCAGCTCAGGTCATGATCTGAGCCCCATGGCAGGCTCTCTGCTCAGCAGGGAGTCTGCTTCTCCCTCTCCCTCTGCCCCTCCTCCCTGCTCGTGCTCTCTCTCTCTCTCAAATAAATAAAATCTTTTAAAAAAAGAATGTAAAGTCAGGGAAAAAATTTTAAGCTAACAATTCTTGACCAGCTACTATGCGTATTAAGTACCATACATGGACTTTAATCTCACGACAACCTGACAAAGCAATTACTATTATTATCCTCTGTACTAGACAGGGTTCTCCAGAAGAACAGAACCAATAGGATGTATGTGTATATATATTTATCATAGGGAATTGGCTTGCATGATTATGGAGGCTGACAAGTCCACAATCTGCAGGGTGAATCAGCAAGCTGGAGACCCAGAGGAGTCAATGGTGTAGTTATAATCCAAAGGCCAGTGGGGCTGAGATCCAGGAAGAGCTAATGTTTCAATTCTATTCTGAAGGCAAGACAATGCCAATATCGCAGTTCAAAGCCATCAGGACAGAGCTCTTTTTTTTTTTTTTTTAAGATTTTATTTATTTATTTGACAGATAGAGATCACAAGTAGGCAGAGAGGCAGGGGGGGGGAAACAGGCTCTCCAGCCAAGCAGAGAGCCCCATGTGGGGCTTGATCCCAGAACCCTGGGATCATGACCTGAGCTGAAGGCAGAGGCTTTAATCCACTGAGCCACCCAGGCGCCCCAGGACAGAATTCTTTCTTACCAAGGGGTAGGGTAAACCTTTCTGTTCTATGAAAGTCTTCAACTGTTTGGATGCGGCCCATTCACATTAGACCCTAAAGCAAGCGGCTTTACTCAGATTGGTCTCAGGAACTACTCTCCAGCTACTGAAGAGTTCATGCCTGGCAGAGTGGGGGACCTCAGGAGCCAATGTCTGATTGGCTGCTGCCTTGGCCACACTTGTGATTAAATATTCTAATTTCAACCCTGGCTCTCCCACTCACCCACTGCATTGGTTCAAAGATAAATTGCTTAACTTACTGGCCTCAGTTTTCTTCTCAGTGAAATGAGGGGTAAAAATACCACCTAGCTTGCTGACATGATGTGAGGAGTAAATGAGAGTATAAATCAAGTGTCTGGCTTAGAGAAGGCACTCAAGGAATAACAGCGATTACCGTTATTAAATGAGATAATCTTTGCAAGGCACTTAGCAGTGTGCATAGAGTTAGGGCTCCATAAAGATGAGGTACCTTCACCTCATTACTATTTAGAAAATAGAAATTATTTCAAAAATAATAGAAAATGAAATTATCTAGAAAAATTCTCCACTGATTGACAGGTGAAAACAAGTGACTTGTAGCCAATAACTCAAAAATTCTGCAACTCCATATGGCATCTATGGCAGACATGTTTCTATGCCTCTGACATCAGAAACTGTCATGCTATCCAAGATTCCCTCCAGGAGAAAATACTCTCTGAGGATTGTAACATAGGTTTTTCCACTGCTAATGGGATAATTTCACAGGCATTTGCACGCTTAAGCAGGGTTGGCCATTACAAAACTTATTGAATACTGTCTATTCTCCAAGAGGGCATGTTCAGGGATATCCTGATTGTGTCCAGATGGTTTTGACTATCTGTATGGAACTATCTAGCTGATGAAGTATGTCCTCAGCCTTGAATCAGGAAATGTTCAGCCAGCAAAAAGATAATTCAAATCCTTCTTTGCATAGCCTTATAATGTGTACTCTTCAATCTGGATCTTCTATAGAAAAGTGGAATGATCTTCCTTGACCTCCAACTCACTCCATGTGATTGTTAACATCCCCACTGCCATGACTCCTATGGACTGCTGCCAGCAATGTTCTTATATCGGTATCTGCATCTCCCAGTGGAAAAAGGGTCTCTTATTTAGATGCTTTTTTAAAATATATATAATTGGGGCGCCTGGGTGGCTCAGTGGGTTAAGGCCTCTGCCTTCGGCTCAGGTCATGATCCCAGGTCCTGGGATCGAGCCCCGCATCGGGCTCTCTGCTCAGCAGAGAGTCTGTTTCCTTCTATCTCTCTCTGCCTGCTTCTCTGCCTACTTGTGATCTCTGTCTGTCAAATAAATAAGTAAAATCTTTAAAAAAAAAAAAAAATAAAAAAAATAAAATATATATAATTGTCCAAAATTTTTAAAAAATGACAGGCAATCCCATACCAAATTCTAATTACTATAAACCTTCACTTTGTTTTTCATAGCCCAAGCAAAAAGCCTAGGCAAATTCCCTCCTCCCTTGTGACAATGTTCAGGGTACACTCCCCAAACCATGGCACCTTGATGTACTGAGTATTTTAAGCAGAAGGAATTTAAGAAATAGCATGAGTGGAAAAAGTTTTCTGACCTTCCCCTGAAGCAGGACACAAAACTCTCATGCAAAAAGTGCCCTTTTTACAGCCGGGCGAAAGGAACATTCTTATCTCTAAGACACCAAGATTAATCTGAACCAATAGGCCTTGCCGGATCCCCATGTTTACCACACTCAGCTCACACCCCTTCTCATTCTGTCACATTCTCCCCCGACTTTCCACTCTTCATCAAACCTAGTGTAAGAAAAAATACATTCAGGTTTGACTGCTTCTTTGGGTCTTCATTTCCTTATGAAGTTTCCTATGTCCTGTAAAATTTATGCTAAATCAATGTATAAGATTTTCTCTTGTTAACCTATCTTTTGCTATAGGTGCCCCAACCAAGAACTCAGAACGACAGGGGAAAAGATATTTTTCCTCCCCTACACTTGTTTTCCTCACATCCCCAACATGTCTTACTAATTTATCTTCAATCATTGTCTCGCACACTGAACATACTTTATCCCCTAAAACTTTTGAGATCTAATAGGTTGCAAAATTGAGAATTGTCTGGACTTTAGAAAGGTAACATGGTACATATACTGTATTTTATTTTATTTTTTGTTTGTTTTTTTAAGATTTTATTTATTTATTTGACACAGAGAGGCAGCGAGAGAGAGAACACAAGCAGTGGGAGTGGGAGAGGGAGAAGCAGGCCTCCTGCTGAGCAGGGAGCCCAATGTGGGGCTTGATCCCAGGACCCTGGGATCATGAACTGAGCCGAAGGCAGACACACTTAACGATTGAACCACCCAGGCACCCCTATATTTTAAATAATACATCCAACTGGGGCTGGGGAAGCATCCCATAATCAAACACATTTATATTTTAGTATCATAACATACAAATATTCAACCAAATGACATAAAGACTACAGGTATCATTTCAGGTCTGATTTTGCCACCACATGAGTTTTCTACAAACTTAAAATAAAACATTTTGTTTCAGAGCTTTTTTGACTTTGGAATCACAGATTTTGGATCATAAAATAATTTTGCAGGGGAAATAACTCTTGCATTTCATATTTCCTTTCAAATGAATGGTATCCTGTTAGTTACGCTCTTGGCCTCTCTCCCTATGGTCCTATACTCAGCAATGGTAATGGGGGTGGCAGGTGCTGGGCAGTGATTAATCTGATTGGTACACTTGGCAAAAATAAACCGGGCATTGTCCACCCAGCTCCACACATTTTGCTCTTGGGAAGCAGCTGGTGCTCTGCCTTCTTAGGTCTTGGCCTTTTGCCCAATTTGGTCATGATCCTTATTTCAACCTTAGAATTTATTAGTATTATCATCATCATTATTATTATTATTAATAATACTTTGGCTTCCATCCGCCACCCTTTGTCTTGTTTCTCAGTTGGTTAGGAACTCAGATGAGAAAAGGCCTGACCTCTCAGAGACTACAGTGTTTGGTCCTTGGCTGGGAATATTGAGAAATTGAAACAGTGAGATTTTGGTTGAGAACAATATACCTGCAGGGACTATTTTGGCAATGCCATGACCTGTGACTTTGTGGCCTGGATTTGGATGTGTAGGCAGGGTCTTTGACTCTGAATGTTTCTTTTTTTTTTTTTTTTAAAGATTTTTATTTATTTATTTGACAGAGAGAGATCACAAGCAGGCAGAGAGAGAGGAAGGGAAACAGGCTCCCTGTTGAGCAGAGAGCCCAATGCGGGGCTCGATCCCAGGACCCTGGGATCATG